CAAGGTACCAAATGAAAGCTCTGCTCAAGCCGAATCGATTGAGAACAGAACATCCAACAATTTACAGTTTTTATAAATATTTCAATGTTATGTTATTTGGAACTTTGTTGTATGGACAGAAAAAGTGTTTTAAAGATATCTACCAACAAAAGTCAATATGTAAACAGTAAATATTGCCAAAATATGGACATTCGCCTGGTATATATTTAAAATATTGTATGATAACTGTTGTATTTTAGTTTATTTTCATCAAATTTACTGATAAAATTGTATTCCAGGTGTATTAGAAGATATTCAGGTGCATGAAAAGCTTCTTTTTGATGGTTTAATGCATTAAAATATAGCTTTTTTTTTACCAGGTGAGGTATTTGTTCTTTCTTGCATCTCCATGTAGTCTGCAATGGTAAAATAAACATGTTAATTTACAATGGATTTCTATTCCTTAGCTTCTGACCTTTCAAAGGAGACCAGAATTATGCATCTAGGCCAAATGGTTGAGGAGATATTCTTGATTCATTTTGGGTTTATTTTAGGCATTTTTCCTGGAAAAATGTCCCCAACAGATTAAACTTGTGTAGTTTGCTAATTAATTCCCACTCGTAAAGTTGTAACGACAATTGCCTGGAGGATTTTGAATTTACATGTGTTGTCGGGTATGTTTCGTTCTGATTCAGGGGGGCTGAAGAATAAACGGAGATCGACTCCCGACACTGATCCATCGAGCTGACACCTGCATGAGGACAGTTACATATGTTGTGTTCATGATGTTGTGGGAAGCAAAGGCATCAAAGACTGAAATGTCATCTAAATGCCATCGACGTACAGTTTCACTGTGACATTAACGCGTCACGTTAACCTACTTTTCTCTGACTGGTGGTCACAGGAAACACTTCCAGTGTTTGTTGACGTTCAAGTGAAGTGCGTTCACATGCGGCGACCGTCCAGTTGGATCAGGTGCACGCTCTCTACAGCTGGAGCTAAGCTAACCCGACTGTAATCAAAACACTGTGAGAGGGTGATGTTTCATCTTGTGCTGCGTTCAAGTTAAATGGGAGAAAAAGACACTGCTGACTACAACAGACTAGATAACGTGATATAATTTATGTTTGTTACCTTATTGAGATGTTTTTCACTAAGGTGAAGCTGTATCATGCAGAAACATGGTCAAATAAATACGGTAACGCATTGATGTGATATTATTACTTTCTCTAGTGTAAGGGATTACTATTTCTGAAACGGTCATAGTATTAGTTACTAATCTAAGTAAGGCTGTGGCTAAAATCAGGCATTTTAGCCCCCCCCACCTGTCCCACGCTGTCCTGGCTGTCCTGCACCACACACTTTCAACCTGGACCGACATCCAGTCTCAAAAAAGCCGCATCAAATCGGACTGACGGTGGTTTTTGACTTTGTGTCATTTAAAACTCTGAGTTGCCCAAACAGTGAGCGGAAAGTTGGCTTGAGAGAGAACCAGAGCCGGCAGCCGGAACACATGTCGAATCGATTCAAAACATTTGCAGATGCATGGATGGAGCTTCTGAGCACAGACGTCGATATGTGTTTGTTCAACGACATGCAGCAGATAAAACAATCAATACCAGACTCACGACATGACCCGCAGGAAGGCAGGAAATGTGCCGCGTCTCCACCTGAACAGGTGAGTACAGCGACCGCTGGGGGAGGATGTAAAAGACAACAGAGGAACTTTTCTACCCTGACTCCTGCATGATGTTTTAGACGCTCTTAGAGTTTAGCTCTTTGTAGTTCCAGTTTTAGCTTATCACTGTCTCTGCGTTTGTCGTTCTTTGTCCTTAAATATGTTTTGTTTTGTCTCTTACCGTCATAGACTGTATATAAGAAGCAGACGTAGTCATGGTGACGTCACCCGTTACTTTGTGGACTGCTGTTTTGAAGCCTCGAGTTTGTCCGATAGGCGCCGCCATGTGGGTTTTTGCAAATATGGCACCAGATGTGACCATATTTGGACGAGACGGTGGAGCTAACGTCCGTGTGTGGAGCTAGTTAGCTAGCTCAGCTAGGTCATCTGTAGTTAACGTAAACTGTCACTTTAACAGGGCTGATGACTTTGTCTAGACAACAACAGGCTTAAAACTAAATGTGCTCGCCAGAGAAAGTGAACAGCCGACTCCTAATACGCTTTTTCAATGGTTAAATTTACACAGCGCCGTACGAGTCACTCTAGATAATCCCGCCCTGAAGCCTCCCCTGCTTCCTGGTCTCTGTTCCTCTAAATGGGACCATAATTTACTAAATGAACATCATGCTGTGTTGAAGAAGACTTGAAACTAGCGACTGAGACCATAAACTCATCAGGAAAGTGTTTACTGAGGGAATAAATCAGCTGACAAGTAGAAACATTTTACCATTATTTCTAATGGAACCGGACTTCTTTCTGCAGCCAGAACAGTCGCCCCCTGCTGGCCGTTAGACAGAATTCAGGTTTAAGGGACTTTCGCGTTCACATCAGTTTACTGAGCGCTTCCTGCTTGGTTACCGTAAAAAGTCAATTAATAGCCCGAACATTTATTTGCTTAAAATCACTGAACTGACTATATTTGGGACAGGCGTCTAATTCCTTTCACACAAAACTCTCGCTCAGCAAAGATGTGAAATGAGCTTCTATCAAACTGTGTTTTTTTACCAGTATGAATACTAATTTATGAAAAATAATGATATCAAATAATATCAATTAGTGCTGGGCGATAAGGCCAAAAATGTTATCACGATAAAACATTTCATATCATTCGATATCGATAATTATCAGGATAAATGTTAAATCATTGTTTCTTTCCCGTTTAAAGGCAGATTTTTGCTCCTGAGTGAAAATTGAAGAAAGCAGATGGTTGATTATGTGGTTAAACTTTTCTTTATGGCCAGAATGGGACAAACACTTGATGCCAAACAGTGGATCACTTCACAAGTCTGAGGTACAACATTCAAAATTATTATTATAAAATCTTTTTCAACAAATATGATTAGTTAATCTTTCTTTAGGCCTCTTCTTCTCAACATAATAGATATTTTAATAGAAAAATTAAGTGCTAATTTGTTCGTGATTCAAATGAATTAAACCAAATATTTATTGACAATATAATGAACATTTATTTTATTGTTATTGAGGAAAATTGTATTGCAATAATATCATTATTGTTTTATTGCCCAGCCTAATATCAATTACAAATCATTCATTTGATCGATCTCTGACAGACAGCTTAGGCACTTTTATTTTGAAGGCAGCAGGTTAATGAAACCGAGCGTACCCAACAACACGGTGCAGGAAGAAGAGCAGACAGTGAGAATCACAGGACAGAATTCACAACTTGGATGAACTGTTTTGATTCTTTTCACTGGACCCTTAAAGACTAAAGGAAAATAAATAATCGAGGAACGTAGACATTCAGACTTTACGACCTCTTCAAAGGTCGGCACTTTTTTTCATCTGAGGACTTAGATTTTGGGGATCGCTGTTTCTGTAAAAAATAACTTAATTAATTGATCAACTGATCCAAGGATGTGTAGCTCGTCCACACTTACAAATGTTTGAACATTTAAATTTGTATTCAAGAGCTGAGCGGCTTAGAAGCAGCTAAAGAGATTTAAGAGGTTTTATACGTCAAAGTAAGTTCTATAAAAACCAGACCAGGCGTCTAATTGAGACAGTTTTACAGTATTTATTCATTCTGTGCTTCCTGTTTTATTTTGAAGTTGTCTTTGCTTCCAGTGTTTCCGCCTGTTTCTGATCATCCTGCAGTCTCTGTTCCTGCCTGCTTTTTCTCTCTGTTCATGAATCTACCTTCTCACTCTGGATTTGTGGATTTGTTTTATACCCTGGACAATCTGACTCGCTGTTCTGTAACTAACCTGCTCGCCACCGTTTTTTTGTATCTGGCTCTGAATCCCTTTTCCCCGTGTCTGCGCTTGACAAACCCTAAAAAACTCAAGGTTGTTTTTTTCTCGTGCAGCCGAGTGTAAAGTCCTGTGTGCGTGTACACATGTGATTTTAGAGTGTCTGATGAACCAAACAAAGCCGTCAGAGTTGCGTTCGAGCATTTCATGCTGATGCATCCGAGGGACACGTGCTGTCAGCACATCCCTCTGTAACTCTCTCTCCGTCTGTTTCTCTGCCTCTCATCTTCTCTGACATCTCAGCTAATTACACAAAACTAATGCAAATGCTGATTTAATTACATAAACTGAAATCTATAGGGTCTGCAGTATCAATGGAGGATCTGAGTGAGCAGTATTTATAGCACTAACCAATTATAGCCTTGCAATGGTCTGCAGATATTTATTTGTCAGGCCAATAAGCAGAGTCCTAAACTCCCTCACAGCCAAAAGACAGTTCATGAAGCCCAGGTATGTTATCCTGATATCAGGACATATAATCCTATTCAAACTACCAAGCTGAGTGGGGAACCCTCCGAGGATCAGCCTGTTCATCTGCAGTGATTTTCTTCACCTCTTCACCCAGTAAATTAAGTCTGTTTCATTTCACCTGATCAATATGTAGCCTGTGACCTGATGGAACTCAGCAGCTGCATGTTGAACATCTGAGAAAATAAGCTGTGTTGGAGTGTGCACCAATCTCTGTGGGAAAAAGGGTGTGTTGAATATTCACTTGCTCAGTGGCAGTAGTAGTTACCCAATACAATGTGACATGAGATTGTTTTTAAATCAATATGACTGATTTCTAAATTCGGAAATAAATCAAATCAAATGTACTTTATTTGTCACATACACTTGCGATATTCATCCCCTGCATTTAACCCAATCTTTTTAAAAGAACCCTTGACTGGAATGAGGCTTCATCAGGTTGCTTGCACACCAGAACAGAGAGAGTGCAGCCAGGTGTGCAGGAGTCAGGTCAAAGAGATCAAAAAGCATGAACATATTAAAGTGCTACAGTTTCTAAGGAGTTTGGTTCGGCAGCTTCCAGACCTTTTGGAGCAGAGCTCAGAATAAACCGTAAAGGTACTCACCGTCGGGGCGGCCGAGGCGGGAAGCTGGAGCTCCAGCAGCCGGTACGCATCCAGCGCGGAGCCGTTGCCGCTCCACGCGGATGCTGCGGACAGCGCCAGGGTGTCCGTGGTGCGCGCCGTGCAGTTCGGCTCGCTGCACGAGATGCTCTGCCGCGCGGACCGCAGCAGCGCGCTGTTCACGCTCATCCTCCCACGCCTCCTCTTCCTCGCTCCTCCTCACGCGCTCTGTGTGAGACGGAGAGAGAGGAGGCTGAATGACTGACAGGCGACAGGATGCGCAGCAGGTGGATCACAATGGAAAGTCTCCTGAATATGGTCGCTTTCTATAGGTGTCATTCACACTGGGGACGCTGGGGACATGTCCCCAAAAAAGGCTGATTTTGTCCCCGTCACTTTTTGAAAGTATTTGCTAAAATGATAAATTGCTTGCAACAAGAAATGTTAAATAACAAATGAGAATGCTTTTTAGAAGGTTTATTTGCACAATAACAAACATGCAATGCAATATAAATATCTAAGAATGTGCATTGTCCAAGAAAGCTTAAGTTGCAGAGTACTACATTATATTACATTATATTTTTATACTTTGTATTGTCACCTTACACCTGAATTTTGTGTTTCCCTTCATTTTAAAAGACATTTCACCCATAAATTGGTCTGGAAAAAGTCTCCAGAATGCAGGAAATTAAGTGCTCAGAATCTCCTGGGGGAGGAACCCCACCCCCCCAAATCTAGGGCTGGGTGATATGGCCAAAAATGTTATCCAATAAAAACATTTCATATAATTTAATATCATGAAATGTCAAATTATTATTTCTTTCAAGTTTAAAGGATGATTTTTGCTCCTGAGTGAAAATTGAAGGAACCAGAGGGTTAATTGTGCGGTTAAGAACATTCAAAACTATTAAGATAAAAAAAATTTAACAAATATGATTAGTAAATCTTTTTTCAGTCCCTTTTCCTCAACAAAATTAATATTTTAAAAGAAAAATTAAGTGCTAATTTGTTCGCGATTCAAATTAATTAAACCAAATATATTTTGACGATATTTTGAACATTTATTATATTGTTATTGAGAAAAATGATATTATATGATAATTATCATTATTGTTTTATTGCCCAGCCCTACCCAATCATATATCAGTAGTGAATATTTATTCTAATATTCTCTTGTTTTGTTCCTGTTTCGCGAGTAAGTGTATCACTGCACCCCTAATCGGAGCCCTTAAATGTTCCCTCCACTTTTCAGCACAAAGTGACGCCTCTGGGTGTTTCCAGGTGTTGGGGAGTTCCAGCCTACTGCACGTGATCCAAGTAGATTGACATGCTCATTATTGTTTAATGTGAAGATGACTTCAGACCCTGTTAAACTGTAACGTTTTATTTACTCTGCCACAGTTGGAGGAACTCGCTCTGATCCCGCTGCCTTTCTGTTGGTGAGTTGGCGGCTGGGTTTGTCCACATGAATCACACTTCAGCTCCTTTGTTTATAACACTGTTCTGCACTAACATGTGAAATAACACCTAAGCTACAACTCTTAATTGCACATTTGAACAAGAGGGACAAAACCAGGCGTCATCTGCTGCAGGGACGTCCATCCTGCAGAACTGTTCCTGAGCTTCGTATCATTTTTAACTCATGCAAGGTGTAGGCACTCAACACAGTCACTTTTAGTATCCGGGTATGTGAGTGGAGGCAGTGCGTCTGGTTCTGTGTCTCTTGGGCTGCAGAGTCAAATGGATCTGCAACGTTATTATTTTACCCAAATTACTGTGACCTTCAATTTCTCCCGAATGGCTTCAAGTGGGCGCTACAGCTGATCTTTTAAAAGTAGAGAGAAGAGACAGGATGCAGGGATTTCAGGATCACCAGGAGCTCTGGGAAACATGTCAGGCGCCTTTTGTTGATAAGTGCAACTTTTGAAAAAGTCAATGCGTTCATCAATGTCACTTTTCACAAACTGACCAATCACAGCCTGGATGGGGCGAGATGTAAAAAAAAACGTTCTGCGTGAATATTTAGGATAATTAACGAGTTAGCACAAGTCCTCCAAGTCGTTTATCCAGGCCTCTGAAAATGACCCATTTCCCGTTCCAGTCCAGCGTCAGGCGACCGGACCTGACTATGTTCCGTAAGTCACATGACATTTAGGTTTGGTTAGGTGTAGGCAACAAAACCAGTTGGTTAGGTTTAGGAAAACATCGTGGTTTTGGTTCAAACGTACGTGACTTTACTTACGTAACCTAAATAAAAACTTTCAGTGTTGACTTTTTATTTCACACAGGACTGGGTGAAAGTCCATTTTCTGCTCCACCTCCTTACTTGGATCTTTCTGTGAAATATCCTACATTCACTTTTTTGAGCGTTCAAAAACCACGCTGCAGGGCTTCCAGCAGGGCGTTGCAAACTGGCGCCGAGGGGGACCATGCGTCCAAATGTGACGACTTGGGAAAGACAGCAGGTTGATAAAAATGAAGTCCCAGCGTCTGTTTACAGTTAAACTGTGTAGGTGGGTGAAATAAACCCTGAGGGGCTTCAGAGCTTCTCACCTCAAAATGAGGAAAATAATGAGGGTGACAGACATGAAAGCAGCTCGTAAAGCTGCTGTAATTGATAACACTTTACTGAAACCTGAGTCACATTTAAATGGATTGTTCACACCTTTTTTTTGTTAATTTAGAAAGTTTGTGCTGAGTACTATTCTTGTAATAACTCGATGAGCTTTTATATTCTGAACGTTTTGTCCACATTGGGAAAACTGATTCATCAGTTTAAGGCGTGAACCTTTCAGAGACGTTTCCTGATCAAACAGCTCCGGTTTCTCCCGGGTGATTTTTACACATCAGCTTTTATTTCCGAAAGTTAAACAGATGTTTTGGACTCTGATATTTAACATCCTGTGGCGCTAGTTTGTTGGACGTATTTCATCACCGTCTTTCATTAAAGCTTTGTTTATTTCTAGTTTTACTGAAAATCCAACAGTTTAAAAAGAATTCAGATATTTGACTTTATTTTTCTTACTCATACCAAAGTGTAGAAATACTATATGTTACAAGTAAAAGCCCTGCATAAGTGGTATCAAAAGTTATTATACAGGATTGGTAATTTCAGAATAACTTATATTATTTGTTACCCCCCCCGAGGATCAACGAAGTTGTATCCTAAACTGTAATAAAATATATTGTACAATTACTTTCCTCCACTGCACAAAACTGCTGATTGATCCTTTGTGTGTTGTTATTTTGGACCCTAAATTATCTGAGGATGTGCAGCTCTGAAATGTAAAGTGTTCCTGCTCACTGCTGACATACTTACATACATACATAGGACAGCTCGGTCTCATCTCAGGGCTCAAAGCTTGACAAAGCATCGGTATTTGGTCTACGATACCCTTTAGCATCTGTATGAAAAGCGCTGGGCGTCCAATGTAACCCATTGTTGGCACAACGTGTGATGTGTGGAGCAGGTACAGTTCTTGATAAGGAGTGGCTGAGTCCAGTGAATCCAAAATAACCAACAGAAATAATCACAAAATGGCACAAATCCACATGTAGGCAGGGAACAAGCAGCTCATTACAAAAAAATCCAGTCAGGACAGAACACAACAGCAGGGAGGGAACGCAGAGGTGAGACATATGGGGTGGAATCAAGACAGCTGGATGCAAACAGACAACTTCAAACTAAAACAGGAAACAGAGCACGATACAAAGACATGGACCAAACTGACAGGGCATTACGACAAAACCTTCAACAGACAGGAACAAACTCAAGACGAACAAGACTGTAATCAAAATACACAGAGCAAAACCGAGCGCGCGACAAATAAGACTGAACAGACATAACAGGGAAACAGACTGAAACAAGGATCAAGACATAAAATGACTTAAACTGAAAACATGATCTGTTACTAAACCTAACCAAGTACTTTTTGGTGCCTAAACCTAATCAATCTGCACATGTAGGCTACCACATACTAAAAAGGTGGACGCTGAAGGAGTTTGGATGAGAATGCGTTGAAAAGGAATCGTTAAAAGACTCCTGGATGTGTCTCAGGCCCCGTCCACGCTGCTGCATAGACCCTTCGCTACGTTTGCTCCTTCCGTCCAGCCTAAGACGGCAAAAACGAAGACCTGAAACGGAGAAGTTTGAAAACGCTGCCGACCCCGTTTTTCGTTTTGAAACTCTGTTTTTGCCCGTCCGCACTAAAACGGAGTTTCAAGACGAAAAACGGAGGGAAATGATGACGCAGACGCTCTCGCTCGGCTCTCTGATTGGGTCTCATAAGTCATGCAAAGCAGAAACACGATGCTGCTGACAGAGTTTTTGACTCTGTACTTTTATTAAAATATTTTGCACCGTGCAAATAACACTTACAGCCTACACTTGTACTGTGCATGTCGCCGCATTTACTTTGCTGCGACTCCCAGTCTGTTTTCTGCCGCTTCAGTCGCTTTTAACTCCCGTGTCACATTCTGTAACAGTGCCAGCTCGTTATTGGTCCATGCAACCAAGAATCTGGTCTGATTCTTCGTCTCTATTTCTTTTTTCTTTCGCCAAATCGTCTGTAACTATGGAAGAGTCCATCTGCTTCAAGTTTACACCGCACGCCCAGTGTACCTGAACGGCCCCTAGATTTTCAGTCCTTTTAATACAGACGGAGATGAACTCTGATACGCAGCAAAAACGCTGCTGTGGACACAGATCGCATTCGTTTTAAAACAAACTCAGAGTAGTGTGGATGGGGCCTGAGGTGCAGTCCCTCCCCACTAATTTCCAGTCCTCGTCTCGACTGTTGCTCTCTAATAAAGGCATCATAAGGCGGATAAATATTTTAAAAAGTCAGATTTCTTCTCTTTACAATGTGCAAAAAGTGTTAAAGTTACAACTTTTTCTGTGGAGAGGCACTAAAGCACTGAATGACTGAAACATTTCATCACTTTCTGTCGTCTTCAATGCTTTAACAGCCAATAAAAAATCCTGTATGATCCAAAAATACACCAGCATCATCATTTTAGAGGGGGGGCTTTCTCTGTACCTGACGAGATTTGAGAAGACGCAAGTGAAAATCCAGGAGCTGCAATCCGGTCCAAATAATCCTGACGTTTGTCTTCAACTCTTCTGAGGGAAACGCTCCCCTGTTCATTCGTCCAGGCACCTTCACCTGTTCAGGGAAAAGCAAACCAACGAGCGCCAACAGACGTCCGGTCATCTACTCCTGCAGCTCCACTCTGTGCGCTGATGTTAGGGAGTTAAAAAAAAACATTAATCTTATTGATCCACAAAGTCTTTTATCTGCATGGACAAACAGCTGCAGCTCAGAGGGTGAAAGCTCGGATTAACACAGGTGTTTACGCGGCGGAGAAGCACACACACGCTGTTTATCTGGCATGTGTGAGTCTTTAGGTCAGCGCTCTGATGAAAAGTCATTACGCTGATTATCCGCTGACCTGCTGCTGCTGACTTAATTCACATCAAAGGAAATTATGAGGACAAAGCCTCTCGCTGATGATCAGACGATTACTGTGCGTCTGTGTGTCGGTTAAACTGTTAAACTCTCTGAGAATCTTCACTCTTATCACGATAATGGACGGCGGAGATCAGGCTGAAAGCCCTTCAAATCTATTTGGACGCACAAATCTGCCAAAGTAAAGAGACTTTACTTCACTTGTTAAGCCCCAAAGCAGCAGGCGGAGTACTGTGCAAGTTTGAGGTACTTGTACTTGAATTTTTTCAGATAATTCAGAGGAAATATTTTTATACTTTTTCCGGGCCAGTTTATACTTCTACGTTGAGTCTATGCCGTAGCAGACAGCGCCAAAACACCAGTACCTAAATTAATGCTTAAGTACAGGAGTTACTTTCCACCGCTGGACGGAGAAGATGGCGGCAGTGGGATGTAGATGACAACAGGATGTACGACACCTCGAACACACGGGTTCATTTGAAGCATACTGAGGCCTTAATCCAGTCATGGTGCTGCGAGGAGTTTTACATGAAGAAGCCTCTGTTTAATGGCAAATGGCGTGTTATGTAGCGTAGAAAAGGAGGAGAAAAAGCGCTAAACGCCGGCAGCGTGCAGACTCAAGCCCCGGATCCCAGCAGGTGTTGGTAGGAGAGCGTGACTGTCGCTTCAGGCCGCAGGTGTAGAAACAACAACAGCCGAGGAGCATTTATACTTGTGCGCTGGTGTCTGCGTCGCTCTGCAATCACGCCGCCAAAACACCAGCGGTGCGGTTTCTATGCTCCACTGTGTTGAGATCCTTCTTCTTCGTTGGTGCCGGCTGAAACTAAGCAGATCATGTTGGAGTCGGAGCTAAACGACGTTGAACAGCAGTCACGTTTAGTGAAATTACTAAAACGCAGAGACGAGAAGGATTTTGCCACCAAAAAGCGGAAATGTCAGACGAGAAAACTCACAACTGTGATTTATAATACTGCTCTTCTCGTGTCACATATAGTAGTTAAGAGTTTTTTTAAACTCCAAATATGTGGTTGATTTCTCAAGACAGGGCTGATTTAAAAATGACGGACTGCGCGCTCCCGCTCCTGGGAGCTTGTACTTTCGAGCCGAACTTGCCAAGTCCGAGCTTTAAAGAGCAGAAATCCGAACTTGGCATACTCGGTATTGAGAAACAGCCGTAGTCACATGGATGGACGCAGAAGTATAAATTGGCCTTTAGACTGTCTAGGTAATTGTTGTATTTAAAAGAAGTGTTCCAGTAGAACCACGTGTAAATTCTTCCTACAATCAGCACCAGATTTTAAAGTTCTTTTCAGGAATCAGCAGACGAATTACAGTTACACATCAGTTACTTCACTGAGCTGTGAAAGAAAGTGTGACAGTTTAATAGGACACAGGGTTTCGCTTATGATACCACGAGTACATTTTGTTGATAATACTTTAACCTTTCTAAACCTTTTTCTTTATCTGAGCCCCGTTGTGTACCTAAAATAAAAAACAGCCTCCATGACGTATGTTTGAGGCTTCTCGAAGGACGACACATGTTGAGCGCTAATTCTCAGACGGCAGCAGATGTTTCTCTGCGGGAGCCTCGATTCCTCTCCTGCAAACCAAGTTTCACACCTCAAACACAGAAACACGGGATGTTAGCTTTCTGAGAGCCCGCCCTGTTTGTGTATTTGTTAGCCAACACTGGTGCAGGCACGAGCAGTGAAATTGAGGATTATTGTAGATCCACATTTTGTATACAATATAGAGTTTATTATGTCATCTTAAGTATTTTGTGAGTCTTTCTACAATAAGAATATTTGTTTTCACAGTGGAATTCAGGAGTTTTACCCGCACAGGTAAATGTTAAAGTCCAGGTTTGTTATTTCAGATGTATTCAGTTTTATTTATATATCGCCAATTCATAACAAAAGGCATCTCATTGCACTATATTAGACCCTAAAATTCCCAATTCCCTGATAGTGTATGACTGCTGCTTTATTGAACGCAGATTACATTTGATTCACGGTCAACATGAGCGGGAGGAAAGGAGATATTTGCAACAAAAAGTTGAAACTTGAATTAAGAATTAGAGATGATAATGCAGACTGCATTGTATGACTGTGTCTTTGGTTCTGGTTCCACATTGTGTGGGTCTGTTTTGAGCGGTCATGATGGTCAGTTTTGCTCTAGAATACTTTGTGATCTCTGACTCCAAAAGTTGTCGTGTGGTATGGAGCACCATCAACAGGTGTAATGAATTAGATTTATCATCTACAGACTGCACACATTAGTTAAATAAGCAAGGATATTGTAAGCATTGTAAGATTTTAGTTTACTGAAGCCTGCTCCTGCTGGGGTTTCTTTCTCCCCCCCCCCCCCCCCCATGTTGTCACTGTAATTCAAATTCAAATCAGCTTCATTGGCATGAATGTGCAACAACAATATTGCCAAAGTTACATTTAAATTACATAAGAACAATTCATTTCATACATTTCATTAAATAAGCAAATAAAACAGTAAAAGTTGTGTTTGTGTGTTATTAAAATAATAATAATAATAAAATATAGAAAATCCGTAAAAATAAATATTAAAAATAAAAGTAAATAAATAAAATATAAAAAAATATATATATATTAAAAAATAAAATAAAACTTAATAAATGAAACAGTAACATGTGTGTTATTATAATAATATATCAAAAATTAAAATAAAGTAAATAGATAAAACCGTAAATGTGTGTGTGTGTTTATTAATTCATCATTAATTCACCAACTCAAAGTAACAGTCTATCACTTGCATTTTGGTTTGCAGGCAGTGGAAATAACGTCTTTTTGCCCCCCAAGGGAGCGTTTTCATTGGAGTGTGACGTCACGTGTGTAATTCGCACCCCGTCCGCCGTGTTTACGTTACCAGAGTAACACAGAGCGGAGCTGACGTGGTTGTTCTGGATGGAAGAATTTAGGGATGAATTTAAGGGAAGTTCCCTGAGCAGGGAGCAGGCTAATGTTTGTGTACACTGTGGATCCGAACGCAGCCGTTTGTGTGCGGGCCGGTGGGCTATAAGAGGTTTTTATAGATTTAAAAAAACCAGACCAGGCGTCTAATCAAGACCTGCGTTTATTTGTCAAAATGTGTTCCCACACCAGGCCACCAGACTCGGTTAATAATACAGTAAGTTTTTTAACCTTAACCATGACCTTTTCCTAAACCTAACAGTTTTCTTTTGAAAGTCTTACCAAACGCTGAATGTGTTGTTTTATATGGCGTTTACAAGCTAGTGTGCGCAGGCAGGTCCGCCGCTCAGTCATTTAAAGAGCTTCCACAAGTGACTGCTTCTTCTTCTTCTTTGATAACGAGTGGGGGGGTCACAGCCTTTAAACCACGTCGTTAAACTTCTACTCTGTAATTAAACCTCCCAGCAGGTGAAGCTCTGGGGTTACAAGGTGTCAGCAGAGACCTGTAATCCAGTATAATGCAGAAACTTGTTCAGCCTGTCAACACACATAAGCCTTTATCACATTTTCTCTTCTTCCGCTTGTGTTTTCTATGTGTAGCATTTGTATTCAGGTTTTTACAAACACGGTCGCACACCGCCAAAAAAGCCACATGTAAACCACAAGCAGGGCATCTCAGCTGCTGGTTACGACATCGATCCATGGAAGAATAATCAAAATCAAATGTGTGTGTGTGTGTGTGGTTGTCAACGGCAACCCCTGAATCAATTTAATCAGCAGTTAAACTGATGGAAGCTGAGAGGAATGTAGGGCACTGACTGAGCGGCAGAGACACACAGTGTTCACGGGAACGAGGACACACATTTGAAGGTCGTCTCTCTCTGAATAGAAAGCTGCTGCACTGACGGGAAAGTAATGACAGCTAACAGCCAGATCAATACGTTGAAATGATACTGAATGGTCTTTACACACAGCATCAGCCCTGATATTCAGTGAATATAAACACTACCAGTCAAACGTTTGGACACACTTAGAAATGTCCTTGTTTTCCAATGAAAAGCACATTTTTTTCCATTAAAATTAAATCACATTTATCAGAAATACAGTGTAGACATTCTTAATAAAAATAATAATAATAATAACTTTTTAGGGCCCGTGTCCACCAAAGCAACCTGGTAAAAGCACTAGCGGCGTGACGAGGGCGCTGAGCGTTTTTTTTTCCTGTCGCCGAGAGTTGTAAAATGTCCAACTTTGGGAAAAGCGTTGCGCTCGTCACTTTTTACCCACCTGTCCAATCACAGCGCAGAAGGGGCGGGACACAGCTGATAAAAAACGCTTTGGTGCACCACGGGGCCTTAAACTACCTTAAAATCAACATAAAATAATAGAATAACAACAATAGTATAATGTTTATAAAAACACAATACGATACAAGTGAGACTTAAGAAGAGATTTAAAAGATGCCACTGAGTTTGCCTCCCTGAGATCTCCAGGCAGGAAGTTCTCGGGGCCTGAACAGTAAAGGCCTGGTGAATGAATCACCTTTAGTGACAAGAAGAGACTTTGGAATCACAGATGTGGGCAGGAGCCTGACCGCTTTAAAAAACGCTACACGTCCGCGAGATGCAATTCAGCACATGAACGTGGGGGCAGAATGTCGATCTGAACGGCAGGTCAGCCACAAACTCCTGTTCCGCACACCAGCCCAGGTGGTGGCGGTATGCATTTGGTTTGCCAACCGCCGTTAAACGCAAAAGAAGAAGAAGAAGGTCAGCAGCAGACTTAATAAAGGAAATTTATGGAG